CTGGACGGAAGATGGAGGGATGAAGGGTGGATGGATCAATGGATGAATGAATAGAGGAAAGGCTGGATGGAAGATGGAGGGATGAAGGGTGGATGGATCAATGGATGAGTGAATAGAGGAAAGGCTGGATAGGTGGAGGGGTGGATGGCTGAATGAATAGACAGATGAATGGATGAAATGGAAGGGTGGATGGAGATGGTGACAGGAAGAATGGGAGGGTAGATGAATGGCAGTAAGGGTTTTTAATAGCATACAGATTTTGCAGCAAAACTTACTGCGGAAACATGATTTTATTTCATGCCAGGACTGACACCAGTCAGTCAGATAGCACCATTATCCACATCTTGAATTTGGTTGATTGCCCAGTTCTCAGGGACTGGCAAGCCTGTACCAGGTCATTCTGAGGAGACCAGAGACTCTGATGTTATGCTTTCTGGGACTGGATATTAATTTTTCTGATCTTAAAGAAAAGTTGTAGCAGGGTGCTGGTGGCTCATGCCTGTAATCTCAGCTAGTTGGAAGGCTGAGAGTGGGAGGATCGTGATTTGAGGTCAGCCCAGGCAAAAAGTTTTCGAGATCCCATCTCAACCAATATCTGGGTGTGGTGGCACACACCTGCCATCCCAAGCTATGCAGGAGGCTGAGAACGGGTGGATCATTGATCAAGGAGAGTCCAGACAAAAAAGTTTGCAAGACCTCATATCAACAGAAAAAAGTTGGATATGGTGGTGCACACCTGTTATCCCACCAACAGTGAGGAGCTTAAAATAGTAAGATCTTGGTCCAGGTTGGCTTGAACAAAAAACAAGATCCTGTCTCCAAAATAACCAGGGCTAAAAAGGCTGGAGGCGTGGCTCACACTCACACAGTACAGCACCTGCCTATAAAGTATAAAGCCCTGAGTTTAAGCCCGGAGTTTAAGCCCCGCTCCCTCCAAAAAAAAAAAAAAAAAAGTTGTTTTGTATGTTTTGCTCTTCTGCCTCAAACAAAATCCTATAGAGAAAGTGCATGCTTGTTGTAGCTTAGTGGTAGAGAGCTTACCTAGCATTGCAAGGCCCTGGGTTTGATCCCCAGTACTTCAAATAAACAAAAACCAACAACAACAACAAAAAGTGCATGCTGGAAGGTTGCTAGGGGAAACATGAACTTGTAGGCCCCTACAGTGGCTGAGGCAGCTGCAGAGGAAGCACTTCACACCCTCCTGAGAAGGACTGGTCCTCTCCCAGCACACATATGCTTAGATCTCTCTTTTTTTTAACTTTTGGCAGCACTGGGACTTGAACTCAGGGCCTCATGCTTGCTAGGTAGGCACTCTAGGCACTCAACCACTTGAGTCACTCTGTCAGCTCCTGTGCATGGCCTCTTGGACAACATACAACCATCCTGGGAACTCAAAAGCAGCTTCTGAAGACTCTGATTTCAAGTTATGGTTCCTAATCCTGAGTGCCATTCAGAGTCAGCCTACCTCAGATTACTGAATTGGAAACCCCACAGTGAGGGTCAGGGTGAGTTTAACTAGCTCACCAGTTTGGGAGTCACTGACCTGGTCTATAAAAATAACGACTACAGCCTTGTCTGGCATTTCTAAAATACGATATAAAGAAATCTTAAATGGTTTTAAAAAAAAAGAGGAAAGATATCTTAGAGGTAAAAGAAGAAAATAAGGGACTAAATATTCTTATTGTTATTTTTTAACTTTAACAAAGATTTTGTTCAAACAGTGAGATTCTCTGTACATTTAAAGTAGAATTCAATTGGCAAAAATTCAGTTGTATGAGAACTTTCTCTACTTACAGATCTAATTTATACATCTAATGCGGGAGGTAAGATAAGTCTGTAATTAAATAATGAAAAGTTACCTGCCATCCTCTCTCAGTTCCTTACAGTTAATAACTGAATCCCTGGAAGTGAGCAGGTGAGAAAAGCCTACCCCAACCCCCCCAGCCCCTACAGAAGAGTTAGAGAGCCTGTCAGAAGGCTTCTTCACATCCAGCAGAGCCAACGTGGCAACTCTCTTTCCAGAAGCTATGTAAGGTCCGCACTCCACTTGGCTGAGAGGTTGACCCAGGGAAGCAAAATTAGTTTTTTCTTACTCCACTATCAGCTAAGCACATCTACAGTCAGGATCTGGCCCCAAATGGTCCCCAGACCCTGAGACCAGTGTCCAAGCCAAAGTAGTAGAAGGTCTCTAGAAACTAATACATCAGGTCAGGCGGTATCAGAGTGTACACTCTGCCTTCCTTAAGTGATGGCACCAAAGGCCAGGTGATAGACTAGGAGCACAGTCCCCACAGCTTCCTGCTGCTTTCTCCAACTCTCTCTGCAGTCAGTGACCTAAGCCAGTGACCACTGTGATGGGTCAGAGAAAAGAAAAATTAAAAAGCAGATTCTTTAGGGCAACAATGAAAACGTGGCTGAGTATGTGCTGCAGGGCATGCAAATTACCTCCCATTAATGCATTCTCAGCCAGACTCATTCTCTGAAATCTCTGGCTAGGTGATCGTGTCCTAGATAGAAGTGGGAGCCATTTTAACTTCTGTCACCTTCTGGAATAGTCTGTGAGGAGTTTCTTGTTTTTTGGTGGTACAGGGGCTTAAACTCAGGGCCTCACACTTGCCAGGCAGGTGCTCTACCATGTGAGCCACTCTGCCAGCAAGGAGTCTGTCACATTCAGAGTAAGTCAGCTCTTGGGGTCCAGATCTATTCTGGCAGGAATTTGTGCCTCTGGACTACAAGGTTCAACTCATGTGTGGGGGGGTCTCAGCTTGGAGATCAGCACCAACACTCAATAGCTTTCCAGGCCCAGGGCTGCTGGCCTCCCTCCGTAGGCTTGTGCAACCTTCTCCTTCTAATATTGCTGAGGGATTCCACTGGGAAGGTGCCATGCAGGGGAGGTGATGCATGAAGTGGGAACTGAGAGGCTAATCAAGTAATCTCTCTTCTCAATGAACAGAAATTGGTGTTATTCCCATCTATCAATATCCAGCCCAACAGGGAAGGCACCTGTGTTTGGTCCCTTTCACGGGAGGCACAAGAAGATTCTTGCCTGGGTTGAGAGTGAAGGCTCACATCTGTAATCCCTGATACTTAGGAGGCAGAGAATGGAGAGGACTGTGATTTGAGGTAAATCTGGGCAAAAAGTTAGCAAGATCCCATTGCAACCATAGCTGGAATTGGTGGTGTATGCCTGTCATCCAGCTATGTGTAAATAGGAGGATCCTGCTAGCCAGGCATAAACTGGAAACCCTATTCCCAAAATAACAAAAACAAAAGGGGCTGGAGGTGTGGTTCAAGTGGTGCAGTGTCAGCCTGGCAAGAATGAGGCCCTGAATTTAACCACCAGAGCTACCAAAAAAGGAAAGAAAGAGAAGGAAGGAAGAAAAAGAGGGAGAGAGGGAGGGAGGGAAGGAAAGAAGGAAGGAAGGAAGGAAGGAAGGAAGGAAGGAAGGAAGGAAGGAAGGAAGGAAGGAAGGAAGGAAGGAAGGAAGGAAGGAAAGAAGGAAGGAAGAAGGACTTTTGCCTATAGCACAGAGAGGAGAGAGCTCTTTCAGGACAGGTGGAACACTACTCAGTGCTCCCTGAAATCCTTTTGGCCTCAAGGCTGGGTAGGAACAGAAAAACAGAAAGCAAGCCAATGTGTCTGGGCCCTGTAGGATAGGCTAAGTTTTAGGAAGGGCAGAAGTCAACAAAAGCTTGATCTCCTGGACAGTGTGCTGCATCTATTCCCCATCTGACCCCTGCCCCTGACAAAATATCAGAAGTAGCAAGTGGACCATCACTTCTTGCCCCTATGTTCCTAGAATGTTACTTGTGGGGGCCCTCAGAACTGAGCTAACCTTGTCTGCAAACAGCCTGAGCACCCCGGAAGAGAAAAGGACCAAAAGTCTGGATGAATAATAGAGGGGATAAACCAACTCAGGGTATAATACTTGCATATAATGAAATGTCACAATGAAACTTCCTTTATAACCATTATAAACAAAGATGCCTTTTTTTTAACAAATGGAGGACAGGAAGGTAAAATAAGTCCTGCCCAGGGTTTGGTACCAGTGAGAGTTGGGAGGGCATAGGGAAAGGCTGAAGGAGGGAGAATATGCTGGAAGTACTATGGATTCATGTATGAAAATGGAACAATGAGACCTGCTGAAACTGTTCTAAAAAGGGGGCAAGAAGGGATAAAGGAGAAAGATGAAGGGTGAAAATCTAAGATATACTGTAAACAATTTTGTAAATGTCACAATGTGCCCCCAGTACAACTATATTTTTTTCAATGAAAAGAAAAATATATAAATAATTAAGTAAAAAAAAAAAAGGTCTGGCTGAGGTCTGGAGGAGTGGCTCAAGTGGTAAGAGTGCCTGCCTAGCAAGTGAAAGGCCGAGTTCAAACCGTAGTACAGCTGGAAAAAAAAGAAAAAAACTGACTGATCCAAACTCAGCCTGGATGCACAGGAGTCCTCAACAATTCTTCAAATTTAAATGAGTAAAAAGTAGAGCCCCAGTCATTCACACAAAACCTGAGCAAGGTCACCAGCCTGGGTTGGCCAGGTCTCTTGAGATTATGAGTGGTCAGGGCTAAGGTAAACAAGTGAGAGAGGAAAGAAAAGGAACAGAAGAACAGTAGGGGAAAAGAGGGAGAAAGAAATTCAGAAGAAGATGAGAAGGGGAGGGGAACAAGGATGATCAAGAGGAAGGAAGTGGAGAAGGAGAAAATGGAAGAAAGGTGGGACCTCAGGGAGGGCAAAGGAAAGGACGGGGTGTGCGGGAGGAATGAGAAGCCAGAGATGAACCACTCCTGACTCACTGCCCCTTTGCCGTTCTTACCCACACCCTATTTGAAGGGAGAACGGCTTGGTAATTGCAACTAAATCTTTTGTTATCGCTCTTTCTAGGCTCTCACCCGAGGACATCCCTCCATGCCTGAATGACCAGCTGGGGAAAGACATGCTATCAGGCTCGCAATCCCCTTGCCAGGTCTGCTCAGACCCTTATTGGAAGGATACTGTAGCGTCTTCATGTAGTTCTGGATCGCCTGGAGCCAGTCTGGGATAGTCATCGACAGCCTGTAGTTTGGGACCTGGGGTACAGAAGGCTGCAGAGAAACACAGAGAGGGATCTTTTATCAAGAAGATTTTCTGGGCCCAGATCCTAGGGACAGACACAGGGATGAAACCACCTAATAGAAAACAGCATCTGAGAGCAGATGGCCACCTGGCATGGTCACCTGTTCCAGTGGTGTCCCCTTTACATGGTCTCCCTAGGACGGCTGGTCGGTCCATCTCTGGAACTCTCCCTCTGAGTCAACTCTCCACATACTCTACTCTGGTTCTTTATGGCCCTCCTGGTGTTCAGTGTTAACACAGCTTACCTCTCCCATGGGAGCCTAAGGGTCTCCTTAAGGCCAGGGACCTCAAGGAGATGTAGTGTCCTGTAGTGGCCCCCACTAAGCCTAACCCAGGATGGACACAGAAGTGCTCCACAAATCCTCACATTTTTATTGCATGACACATTTTGCTTCATAGCTAATGACGACCTCCCCCAACCCCCATTATACGTGCTCCACTGCAGGGCATCTTTACACAAGATAGCAGGTGATATCTGCAATATGGCACCATTTCTCAATACCACGCTCCTCGAAATGCCCACTGGGTCCCCTCCCCAAGTGGATTACGAATGATTCCTCCTCTTGCCTTAACCTCCCCCACCCCCGAAAAGTGCAGCTCCTCTGCCTCATAGCCTTCTTACTCTTTTACCTCTTGGCAAACCAGTTAACTTTATTTCCTGGTCTGCTTCTTGGTTAACACTCAAACAAACCACTCTTGGGAAGGAAGGGACACCAGTCAGGTATGATTTTGTTTTGTTAGATGTATGATTGTTTTGTTTTTGCTTTATTTCCCCCTGTGTTTCTCAATCCTCTGATCTCCTATCTGTGAGGTGAGATGAGTCATGGGTGACAAGAAACTCAGTGTCTGTGGGCCCAGAAGGGAGAGAGGAGGTTCCTTCAGGCCTAGCCTCTTAGGGAGCAGGCAGGGCTAAAGGAAAGATTAGTCCCATCCTTGGGGAAAACGGGGCCAGGGAGGCCCCAGGGATTTAAGGCTTAGCAGATAAGAAAAGCTGCTGGTACACAGACTCAAGACAGCTCTGGGCAGCTTGGCCAGGCAGCAGCACTGCCTGAGGACATTCCTGGCTATCTAGTACAAGCCCCTCAGTGAACTGAAGGTGCACGGCCCTGAGCAAGGGCCAGCAGGCTCTTCCTTCGGCTACATTCACTGCAACTATTTCTTAACATTCTTTTCCTCTCAGTGACAATTCTCCTTCTTGGCTTTTTCACAGCAACTACTCCTTCAGCTGAAAGGAAACTAGTCACTTCCTACCTCACAGCCAAGGCATTGTGTGTGTGTGTGTGTGTGTGTGTGTGTGTGTGTGTGTGCAAATGTGGACGTGGCTGTGTGGGCAGCACACAAGCACAACTGTTCTGCATGCTTCACTTTCTTTACAACATCTCAACTCAAATAGATCACATTCCTGTCTGGGAGAATCACTGAACAAAATGTTCAAAGTGGAACATTTTCTTCTGCTAAATGACTTTAAACACACTCTGTCTCACACACACACACACACACACACACACACACACACACTATATATATATATATATATATATATATGAAATGTGTCCTTGTGTTTCTGCCCAACAAACCCTAGGAAGTGTCAAGCTTGTCTGACACTGCTGAAATATCCACGTGCTACCCATACATGGAATTCTGTGTTAAGAATGTGCCAGAGATTTCACAGAGAGGTGAGGAAAGAAGGGTGATAGGAACAGACACTTCCCTAGCACCTCCTGTGTTTCACACTCCAGGCCTGGTACAGGAGGACAGAATGTACAGGAGCAAAGGAAGGGAGAGAGAAGGGAAATGACACCTTACTAAGTTATGAGCAGTTCCACACAGGAAAGGGCTGTTTGTCTCCACTTAATAGAAAAGTTGGTAAGTGTGGGAAAATGTCAGAGTGAATCCTTTGGCCTGCAGTATGCAGCCAGTGACTTGGCTCAGAGTCAGCTATGGAGACTGACCACCAGATTATTTCAACTCCCCTGAAGCCCACGGGGCCCACAAGTCAAATGGTCGGATGGGAGTCAGGCAACAGCTGGTCCTCAGAATAGCAGCCCAGTGGCGCCCAAGAGCTTTAAAAAAACAGCTGCATGGTTACCTTAGCCAAGCTGTGAGAGAATGAGGGAGCTGTGGCCACACTGGCTCCCAGCTGGGAGGACAAATGTAGACATTCCCCACACCCAGCTGGGGAGCAGGACTGTGGTTGAGAGAGGAACTGAGACTGCTGAGGGGATGATGTCATAGGCTACAACTCACCCTGATGTCTGTGGGTGCTGACTAGAGGTCTCAGACTGGGAGCAGTTTCCAGGCAGCACTGGAGGCTCCCACTGGACCTGGACTATAAGCCAGGTGGGCTCCTTGGAGTGTTATGACAAGACACACACAACCAGTTAACAATCCCTGCTCTGCCTCCTACTAGCTGTGGACCGTGGTCAAGCTACATGGCCTCTCTAAGCCTCCATTTTCTTCCTGATAACATAGGAATACCATCACCTGCTTTGAGCCTTCCTGCTGGTTGTGAGGAATATGGGAGCACGTGGGGCCTGGCACCCAGTGATCATTACGTATAGCTGTGTTATTATTTATCAATAGTGTATTCTCAGAGGTCTAGACTAGGGAGGGCCAAATGGTCTATACTTTTCAAGAGCTGGAAAAGAGAATTAGCAGGGGCCCAAGTTCCTAGACACTCAGCTCCCAAGCTTTACATCATGAAGACGCCTTCTCACTCTAATGGAAGGGGCTAAGAACACTCACTTTCCCCTGGAGACACATGGTGACAGTGAGTTAGTGTCCTTAATTCACCAAGAGTTGGTACAAAGGGATAAGAGAGCTCTTTAGGCCTCAATGAGAAACATGGCCCCCAAAGGTGGAACCAATGCAAGGATCTGTGGACGGATGAAATGAATAAAAACAACGTCATGCACACATACCATGGAATGTGAGTCAGCCTTAAAGAGAAAGAACATTTGTGACACGCTAAAACATAGATGAGCCTTGAAAACATTTTGCTAAGTGAAATAAGCCAGTCACAAAAGGGTAAATATTGTATAATTCCTCTTACTCATGATTCCTAGAGTTGTCAGATTCATGGAGACAGAAAGTAGAGTGGTTGCCAGGGGGTTGGGAGGAGAGGGGCTGGGGAGTTAATGCGTAATCTGTACAAGTTTCAGTAGAAGAAGAAAAAAACGTTCTGGAGATGGATGGTGATGACAGGAGTATGACAATATGAGCATCCCTCATGTCACAGAACTGTTGTGTTAGTCAGCTTTCTATCACTGTGGCAAAATACCTGAGATAAGCAGCTTCTAAGGAAGAAAGGGTGATTTGGGTAACAGTTTCAGAGGTTTCAGTCCTTGGTCACTTGGCCCTGTTGCTTTGGACTGTGGTGGCCCATCACAGTGGGAGTTTGTGGTAGAGGCCTGTTCACTTCACGGTGGCCAGAAGGAAGTGGCCAGGGTCTCAATATCCCCTTCCAGGGAACACCCCCGATAACCACTAGGTCCCCACCTCTGAAAAGTTCCATTGCCTCCTAATAGCTGGGGACCAAGCTGTCAACATAGGAGTCTTTGGGGAATATTCACAATCTGAACTACAGGGGCAGGTGGAGATGGAAGGATCAAGATTTGAGGTCAGCCCGGGAAAAAAAAGTTATTGAAACCCTATCTGAAAAAACAAGCTGGGGAGGAAGAGATGGCTCACACCTGTGACCCTAGCTACTTGGAAGGTAAGATTCCATCTCAACAAAATAAGCCAGACGTGGTAGTGTGTGTCTGTATAATCTTAGCTAATCAGGAGACATAAGTAGGAGGGAGGATTGTGGTCTGAGGCCGGACCCAGGCAAAAGCTTAAGACCCTATCTGAAAAAAGAACTAAAGTAAAAAGGGCTAGGGGTGTGGCTCAAGTGGTAGAGTGCCTGCCTAGCAAGAGCAAGGCCCTGAGTTCAAACCCCATCACCATCCATAACACAAAAACACATCTGAACTATAGCAAACTATACAATTAGAAATGATTAAACAGTAAATTCTAAGTTATGTTTCACTGTAACAAAGGACACAAAAATGATTCATAAAAGAGGACTTAGCAGAGTGACTAAATATTTGAAAAAAATGTTCAAGCTCATTAATAATTTAAGAAATACAAACTAAAGCTACTGCAAAATGTCATTTCTCACCTTTCCAATTAGCAAAGATATTGTGAAATGCAGATACGCAGTGCTGGCCGGCGTGCTCTCCTACAGTACTGATGGGAACATAAATCAGTGCAACCTTTTCAGGAAAAGCCCAGGGCTCTCCCCAGATGGGGTTCTGATGCTATTTCCCTGTCAGATCTCATCAATTACTACCTGAAACTCCAACTGTGACTTTCCGTGGCTCTTCCCCTCAAGGTCCTCACCTCCAGCCACCTGCATCCTGCCTCACAAGCCCCAGGCCAGCTGACGAAGGCAGAATCCAGAGGGAACAGATCAGGACCAACCTCTCCAGACACTGCGCCTGTGACCTGAGGGAGGGTCCTGGAGGCTTAGGGAGGAGGAGAGAAGAGGGAGGTGAGTGGGCAGGAAGATGGTTGTTCAAGAGGAACAAGAATGAAATGGATCACAGGCAAGGCTTTTGCAGCCAGCCTCTCTTCCACTCTGTTCTTGCCAAACACGATTGAGCTGTCAGAAGAATGCAAGAGGAGGGATATGGACGAGCACAGGTGTGTAACTGGCATCACCATATGGAATAGGAAGGGAGGCCAGGCAAGGAGCCAGGGAGGAGCAAGCAGCCCAGACACTAGCAATCTTTGACAAGAACCAGAGAAAGCAAAATGTATTGTCATCCCCGCTCAAAGAATACAGCACAGGTGCCCAGCAAAGAACTTTCCTGGCAACCTGGGAAAAGCAGAGCAGCACCCATGAGTCCAAGATGGGCCCCGAGTTCTGTAACAGGGTACCCAGCCTCTGGTCTGGTACAGAGATCCTGTCATAGCCTTGGGCTAAGCAGAGTGATAATTCTAAATCCAGGACAAGGGGAGGGAGGGAGGAAGCTGCCCATGTAAGCCCACAGTGGGTGGGTCTGGAGCTCTCCTACAGCAGCCTCAAGTCCCCAGGACTCACACTTCACTCAGGCAATGCTCAGATCTCTCCACATGAATTACTTCCCAATATGAAATCAATGTGAGAATGAGGCACAAACGTGAGGCCTGGAAGAAACAACTGATGTTTCCTGCTCAAGTCATCCTGGTTTCCTGCCTTAGTGGAGTCTGGCTCTGGCCAGTCAAGGAATACAAGGAGTGTTTCCTATTATACCCAGCTGCTGCTCTGGGCCAGTCACTCTCTGCCCCTGTCCTCCCATTCTCTGCCATCCTCGAAATGATTCTCGCTGTTTTCTTAAACTATCCTGGACTTGACCTAGTCAAGTGCTAACTTCAGACTCAGCCACCAGCAGAGGAGAGGCCTGCAGTCACAAATTTGGAAGTAACTCAGAGCAACTGACCCTCTACCTCTCCAGGAAGAGACACTGGGCCTTCAGGTAGACCTTACCATGGCCACTAATGGAATGTACTTCAAAGTAAGTGTGGTTCAGTCCTCCTCTGTGGCCCTTTAAACCTTCCCCTGGCCACTTCTGCTTCTAGTCCACATTCAATTGCCAAAAATGATTAATCTCCCTGAAACTCTCCAACCCTTCTCCATCACCAATATCCTGCCACTCCCTCCTCAGTATAAATTCTTCAGCAAGGCATTGATTTGGTAGAAGGAGAAAAAGACTTGGCCCTAAAGGAAAGAATGTACTATGAGCACAGGAAGAGCCCTTGAACCAGAGGAGTGGATCCTGGACATGGAAGTTCCTGAACCATCTCCATGTCAGGGTTTGGGAAAAGTTGGGACTAGGGAGATGCCATGATGGTTGGGGATGGAGCACCAACTATTAAGACACCAACTGACCCCTATCTTGAAAAAACCTCTCACAAAAAGATGCTGGTGGAGTGGCTCAAGGTGTGGGCCCTGAGTTCCAACCCCAGTACCAGAAAAACAAAAAGGGTTGGAACATTCTTTTGGTTTTTTTCAGTACAGGTCTTATAGCCCAGACTGTACTTGAACTCATGATTCTCGTGCCTCTAGCTCCTGAGCACTGGAATTTACAAGTGTGCAGACCACATCTAGCTGGACACAATCTTTTTAAAGAACATAACATTCAGCTATCATACTGGAACTATCAAGTAAAGATCTCAGGAAGTAGAAATCTATGTTCTGAACTACATGGGTAACATCTGGAATATTGTGTTTCATATGTGTTTGTTTTAGGGAACTGCTGACAAACTAGCAATCATCCTAGAAAGAGATCAACGAGTGAGAGCAAGTTGGTCTGGGAACAATGACACATTAGAAAGGGTGAAAGGTGTTACTTGTGGACCAGGACGACAAAGGGGAGATGTAGAATGTCACAGTTCTGAGGGTTTATAATCCACTAGACTGCTAGCATCACACAGATTAGCATTTGAGTTCTGCCGACTCACTCATGATCATAACATCATGGGATGTGAGAATGGGAAAGAACATTACATGAAATCTGTTCCCATTTTATAGATGAGAAAAGTAAGGCCAGAGATTTTTAGGTGAATGACCTGCCCACAAAGCTAGATACAGCACAACCAGGACTAGATTCAGTCTCTTGATTTTTTACTGTAACTTCCTTGTAACATAAGAGCCCAGTCTCCTAGTCAAAGCTGCTATGAATAGCAAGAGAAGTCAATCTCTGATTCAAAGGTCAACACACAGATCAGTGGTGAAATACGACTGGGGAGGGAGTGGGGGGATTCTGTCAAAAGAGTTTCCTCACAACCAAATACAGCCAGGCCTTGGTCACCTGCCCTGTAGGAGCCAGTGAGCCCCTCATTCCCAGGAGGAAGATGGAGGAAGACTTCCCAGGAGGTCTTCAGAAAGAGGAATGGATTCATCTGAGAGGTGACAGACTATTTCACCCAATACTAAGATTCCACGATTTCCACCCACATGGAAGAAGGCTCCTGCACACAGGCTGGGAGAAGGACGAAGGCACAATTACAGGCAGGGTCTGTGCTGAGGATACAAGTTAGAAAGGCAGCATGGGACAGAGGCATCTGGCCTCTACGCCCTGTGGCCACCTCATTTAGGCTTAAGGGCTCTGACTGCTCATATAAGTAAAGAAAAATTCTGAAGTCAGAAATGCAAACCAGAAACAGAGCTGAGCAAGAGTAACTACGGCTGATACTCAAGCAGACAAGCTACTAGTTAGACATAATGAAGACTCCTTGACCAGTAGAGTAATAAAACATGAACTGATGCAGCAGGAAATGTGGAGCCTCTGTCACTTCCCCAAGGGCACACACAGCCTTCTGGTTGGCAGGCTCAGATGCTCAGCTGTCACCAGGTTGGGGACTCTACCAGATGGCCTTCCGGTTCTCAGATCTGGTATTCCTAGACCTGTCCAGGAATCTTCTCAGCCATACCAGTGTCCTGGCATCCAGGAAAAGCTATCCGACATACTATGTCCCCCCAACTTCTGGGGCATTTCTCTCCAGTTTGCATTCTGATATTTTATATAACTTGGCTTCTCCCACCCACCAGGGGACTCAACCCCCTCCCTCTGTAATAATATCCTTGGACACCAAGCCCAATCTGCTCACTGGCTTCTCTCCAAGGTAAAAAGAGAACTTCACCCCTGAGCCTCTTCCTTTATCCAGTGAGACTAATTTATCATGTGTACTGGAAAGTCCCTTTTAAGCCAAAGCCAAAATTCTTCCCCTTTTTTTTGTCCTGGAGCCCAGAGAAGCTGGGAAGAGACAGTTTGCTGTTTAGCAAGTTTCAGAGGTGAAAGTCACTGTCACAAAAAAAAAAAAATTGGCAGAAAGTCTAGAAATGATTCACACTGAGAAGTCTGACTGGTTGGTTGCTAATTCATTCATGGCTTAATAAATCAATTGCCAGGGGGGATGCGGGAAGAGCAAGACACTCCGAAGAAGACAAGGATGGACCCTTAGGGATCTATGCATTCTTGGCATTGGTAGTGTTACCTGGTGGCGCTTTTGCTGAAGGTGTACATGGGGCTGAGTAAATAATCGAGTTTGGCTTGAGAGTCAAAGAAATCTTGGCCCGACCAACCCAACCATATAACTCCAGAATAGCAGGCCCCTCTCCAGATCTCCTGCCCTCATTCTAAAGCTTCCAAGGCAAACATGGCAATTAAGAAAAGAGCTGCCAGAAAGAATTGGAAGAAGGGAGTTTGCAGCGGGACCAGCGACCTGGAGATTGCGGCTATTTGCTGTGTACAGGCTGAAATGGTCCCATCGCCGCCCACCCCACCCACCCCTCTGAAACCACTAACCTTTGCCAGGAAGGCGGCGTTTCTGATGGCGCCCACCATCTCTCCCCCCTTGGGATGCACCTTGGCCACGTGCATCCACATGCGCTCCCAGGTGTGGCTGTCGATGGGAAAGCCGCTCTTGTTAACGTGAAACAGCACCCCACCGTCTTTGTCCTCCTCCTCCGAGCCCCCGCTGGTGGCGAGGCTCACGGGCCGTGCGTGGCTGCTCCGAGACCGAGTACCTTTGGCGCCTTTGGGGTGGGGGCAGCGGTGAGTGTCCGCCGCGGAGCCGGTCATGGCGGGGCGGGGCAGGAGCGAGGTGCGGGGGGCGCGCGGCGGTGGCAGCGGTGGCGGCGGCAGTGGCGGCGGCGGGGGGCGTGTGCGCGCGGGCGCGGCGCTGGGATCAGCGCCCCGCGGGGGTGGCCTTCTCCATGCCTCTCGCTGCGGCAGGACGCGCGAAGGGGAAGCGGCGCAGGGGCTCGGCGGAGGCGGCCAGGCTCCCGGCTTACCTGCGGTGCCTGCAATCAGTGGAGACAGCAGACACCGCGGCTCAGTGGACATCGGAAGAAACCGAGTGGGGGGCGCTGGGATGTCTCCACGTCCCCCGAGCTGACCCTCGCACGCTGACAGACCCACCCCCCCCCCTCAAAGAATTGAATCCGAGCTTCCAGCCTTGCGATTACCTAGAACGACGGCTGGGAATTTGCCACAAGGCTTCACACACATCTAAACACCGGGGGTGGGGAGGAATACAAGGAGCGTGTGTGTGAGTGTTGGGAGGGGATTGCGGGATGGTCGCCGAAGGCAAAAGAAAGACAACTCGTGTAGCGTGATGAAACAGGAGGTCCCCACAACGCTCCATACATTCCCTGGTCCCCAGATGTGGCCGCACGACGAGCCAAGCCAAGAACGTGCCGGCACGTGAGCGCCCGGGGCTGGCGCGAGGGCGCTGCAGCAGCCTCGGCTTGCATAGGGGACCTGGCGAAGGAGCGAAGGGATGACCCCAGTTCCACCCGCCCCTTTCCCCCGAGTTCCAAGCGCCGGGCACCCGGAGGGACTGGCAGCAGGTGGGGCGCGGGAAGGGTGCGCGCGCTGGGGGACCCACCTCGGGACGCGCGGCTTCATTGCTGCAGAGCCTTTCCCGGCGGGCGGCGGGGGCGGTGGCGTGGGCGGCTGCAGCTGCTGCTGCCGGGCCTGGAGCTGGGGCTGCTGCGGCGGTCGCCTCATTCCATGTCCCATTCTCGAATGTTATTCTGTGACATATAACCGAGTCACCCGGGCAGCCGCTGATGTTCCGAATGCGTCCATTGGCCACCGCAACAAAGAGGGGCGGGCCCCAGGCTCGGGACTCTACAACCCCGAGCGCCCCGACGCTCTGATTGGCTCCGGGATTCCCGGGCGGGAGGGGATCTGAGGAAAGGAGGCTGGGCTGCCACGCGAAATCCGATCGCTGTCGGGTCCTGAGGGCCCCGCTGGACTGGAGTTTGTCCATGGGACTTAAGATCTAGTTTCCCCAGGGGTCGTGGCACGGTGAGGGCTTGCAACCGTGGGAAGCAGAGGAGGAGCGAAGTGACCCTGGGGTAGAGGAGAGCTTGGCGTTGGAACCCATTCCCGGAGGAGGGCTGGACACAGTTGACTGCACCTACCTGGAACGATGGGTGGTTTTCACAGGGCCTGTGTAAATGTATGCACAAAATTAAATATTCTTTAAAAATCCCATATCAAAGTTTTCCCCACGTTAACAAATGGGCATTGGATTTTCTGTTACTTTTCGTGGTTAATAAAGTGCCTGTAGGCTGGAGATATGGCTCAAGTGGAGAGCGCCTGCCTAGCAAGCATGAGGCCCTGAGATCAAACCCCAGTACCACCAATGAAAATAAAAATAAACAAGTTTTTTTAAAAAATTAAAAAATAAAGTGCCTATAAACCCAAACTGATAATGCGACACTAAAGCCCAGGAGGTCAGCCAGCCCCAACTGTCACTTGGTTAGAGGAAGGCCTGGATAGGCGCTTCCAAACTATGATGAAGTGAGTGACCTTCCTTTACTCACCACTGAAACACCTTTCTCTTAAAGGTGGCTTTTTTGTTTTTGGGTTTTGTTTTTTGTTTTTTGATAGAGAAGGGCAAAGTGAGGTGGGAAAATCATATTGACCTGTCACTCAGCAGATTCAGGTTTGCCTCTTGCTGAGCTGTGTGACCCTAGACAAAACACTTGCCTGCTCTGGGCCTGGACTTCTCTTTCTAAAAAGAATAGATCCCTCACTATCCCAGACATTTGGCTCTCAGGTTCTGAGACTGCTTGACTTGCTTTCTCCTAGACATTTAGGAACCTGGCCGTTATATCCTTTCTCTTTGAACTCTAGGCCAGCATGCCAGCTTCGGGAGGGTGAAGCAACTATGAGAACTATGTGAACCTCCAATACAAGTGCATGGGCACTGGAAGAAGATCTGTTCCTGGCTGCTCAGCACTATAAGGAGCCTGAGATGAACTGGAACTTCTCCAGAGGGGGAATTAGGGAGAAGCCAGGGTCCACAGAGGCCCCTGGGAAGTAGCCAGGACCTGGGTGAGGAGACCGGGGTTCTGAATCCCACTCAGAGCCCATGCCTAGAGCTTTACAGAATCAATGATGAGATCAATAATTTAGGTCCATACATAGATAAAGGAAATGGACAAGTCCCTGAAATGATCTGAATAATCCAATTGGAACAAGCACGTTAGAAAAAAATAAGGAAACAAAATTATTCTTGCACTATATAACTGACTCTGTGGTTTGGGGCTTTTTTGTTGGTTTTTTTTTGTTTTTGTTTTTTGTTTGTTTTTTGCATGGGACTGGGATTTGAACTCAGGGCTTTGAGTTTGCAAAGCAGGCATTCTACTGCTTGAGCCACACCTCCAGTCCATTTTGACCTGATTATTTTTGGAGAGGGGGGTCTTGAAGAGGATTTGCCCAGGCTGGCCTCAAACCATGATCCTCCCAATCTCAGCCTTCCAAGTAGCTAGGATTACAGCTACTTGAACTTCTGGGGCCTGGCCAGTTTTCGTTTCTTGGTGAACAGAAATCATGTCTCAGAGAGTGATCTACTTTCTGATCTTGAATATTTTTCTTCCCTTTTGTCTTTATCCCTCAAACCTATCCCCCTCTCCAATTTCCCTGGAATTTCCAGTCCAGGATACTAGAGTTCCAGGACCAGGTCCGGCAGGCAGAGGTTGAGAATTTGGAGAATTCGCAGGAGAATACAGCTCTCAGCTCAGTGGAACAGATGCTATCAGTGAACTTCAGAGGAGTCACCTTCCTGGTAATTACTTCCTGCTATCCCCAGGCAAGCCAAGTCCAAATAACTACAGTTTACTTTGTTAAACCAAAGCCCAGATCCCGTTAAACCAAAGCCCAGATCCCGTTTCCTTCTCTTGCCTAGAAGCACCTGAGAACTTCCAGACAGCTGATGCGGAGCTCTTCTGTTGTTAATCTCCAATATTTGAATTGTCTGTTTTCTTCTTTCCCAGAAATGGGGTGGGTGGAAAGCCAAGTGATAGTAGTATAGGAAGAGAGGGGCAAGATTTGGCAACTTTTCCAGTGAGGTGGTACAGTGGCTTCTGGAGTGAACTGTGCAGTCCTTGGGAAGCTTCAGTGAGTCACAGGCACTCTCATTCAATATCCTTTTGCATTTGAGAGCCGTGTTAGGTTGCATGAACAGCCAGGTTTTTTTTCTTCATTTTCTTATATATCTTGCGTTACATGACTGTCAAGGAACCCAGGCCATATAATTAGGGGTTTTGAAAGTTCCAGTAGTAGTGGTACTGGCCAATTTTTTATTTAAATAAGGATACATGGTGACTGGATGCTCTGAAGGTGACTTCAGCCTCTGAAGGCACAGTCACTTCCCTTCATTGGCATAACAACTGGTGCAGCAGGGTAGTGCAGGGGAAAGGCTTGGATTGAGAAGAACTGAGTTCACATTGTACCTCATCTTTCAAATGGCAGCTCCCAGAATCACAAAGAAAACTAAGATAAAGCCAACCCTGATGGTTCATATTTCTAACTCTACCATTTGTTGATGCTGCAATTTGGGGTAAATTACTTAATAGTTCTGAGCCTTACTTTCTTTAAAAGTAGATACAGTACTACTCTGGTGGGATGTTATAGATTCAGAGGTAAGGTGTATCATTCAGCTGTGACAAAATAGCTTACATGATCAACTTAAATAAGGAGAAAAGATTTATTTTGACTTGTGGTTTCAGCCCAGGGTGGCCTGGCCTCATTGTTTTGGGCCTATGACAAGGCAGAATATCATGGTAGGGAGTAGGTGTGGGGTAAAGCTGCTTGCTTACCTCATGGTCTCCAGAAGGAAAGGAGGGAGAGGGAGGGAGGGAGGGAGGAAGAGAGAGAGCAGGATCCCAAAATTCCCTTCATGGGCTTTCAATGACCTAACTTCCTTCCACCAGGCCCCACCTCCTAAAGGCTGCACCATCCCCCAAAAGCACGACTACCTGTGACCAAGACTTTAGTGCCTGGTTTTTGGTTTTTTTTTTTTTTTTTTTGGCAGTACTGGAGTTTGAACTCAGGGCTTCATCCTTGCTAGGCAGGCACTCTACCACTTGAGCCACTCCGCCAGCCTAGTGCATGGTTTTTGAGGCCACTTCACATCCAAACCATGATGGAAGGTGTGTGAAGATACATGCTAAGTGCCTAGCATGTGTTAGTTGGGCCTTGCTCTGAATCTGACACTGTTACACAACTAGATTTGGAAACATCTGTTCCTAGGTCATTGTCTGAGAGTCAGGCCCAAGAAATTACTGCAGTTGCCCAGGGAAAGGAAAAAACATTTAAAACAAGCCATGGGTGTGTAGAAGGAACAGAAAAAGCTAGGAGGAAGTAGCAGGCACACAGGGACTGGCAGAGTTTCTCTCTGCCTCCACTGTCAACATCAGAAAAGACTCAACTAATTATGGGTGGAAATGCTCCACCTTCCCCCTAATTCATATGGCAAAGTTCTAACCCTGGAACCTCAGAATGTGACCTTATTTAGAAATATTGTCATTGCAGATGCATTTAGTTACGATGTCATACCAGAGAGGTTGGGCTCCTAATCCAATATGACTGATGTCCTTATAAAAAGGGAAAGTTTGGGTGCAGAGACTGACATGTGAGCAGGGAGAATGCCATGTGAAGATGGGAGTTCTGATGCCACAATCAAGGAAATTTCCAGAAGCTATGAGAAAGATCTGGAACAGATCCTTCCTTAGTGCCTTCAGAGGGAGCCAGTCCTGCCAGTTTCTTGATCTCAGACTTCCATCCTCCAGAAGTATGTGGTGATGAGCTTGTTTATTCCACTGTTATGGTCTGAATATGAAACATCCCCCACAGGCTTATGTGTTGACTGCTTGGTCCTAGCTAGTGGCACTATTTGGGGAGGTGCTGGAAACTTTAGGAGGTGAGGCCTGCTTGAAGGAAGTAGGTCCCAGGAGGGATAGCCTCCTGGTGCCCAGTTCCTTCCTCACTTTGGCTTCCTGTCCACCATGGGGTGAAGAGCTTCCTCCATCATGTATTCCCAACTCTATGATGGCCTGAGAACATGAGATAAACAGCCAGGGATGGAACCTTCTGGAACTGTGAGCCAGAATAAATCTTTCCTTCCTTAAATTGTTTTGTCAAGTATTTTGCAATTTGTCCAAGACCCAACAGCAAAAGGAAATGCTATGGATTGGATCTTGCGTGTCCCCCAAAGGCCCATGTATTAAAGGCTTGACCCCCAGTTTGGCAGATAGTGGAAACTTTAAGAAGTGGGGCCTAGCAGAAGGTCTGAGGTCATTGGAGGCATGTCCTCTGAGGGGACTGTGAGAACCTGGTCTCTCCCCAGTCATGAGGTGAGTGGTGTTGCTCAGCAATGCACTCCCACCATGATGCACTGCCCCTCCACCAAAGACCTAAAAGCAATGCATCTGCCCCATCATGGACTGGAATCTCCAAAACATGAGCCAAAATAAACCTTTTCTTTTTATAAGTTGATTTTCTAAGGTGCAGTGTTATGGTGGTGGAAAGCTAATACCAGAAACCACAAAAACATTGTGTCCATTTGAGCCTCAGTTCTGAATGGAAAAAAGCACAATAATACAAATGGTTCCTCCAGGAATTTGTAACTATGTATCTGTTCTCACACTGAACTTACACTTCTCAGAAAATTCAGGAAAACTCAGGGTGAAAAACTA